AATAAAAATTAAAAATCAATATTTTTAAATAAAAAATATAAAATTAATATTTTTATTTAAAAATTAATAAAATTAACATTTTTAAATAAAATAATATAAAATTGATACGCTCTACCTATCGTGCAACAAGTATTTAAAGTAGAACTGTAGAAGCGAGAAAGGGTGACCGTAAACATATAAAACGCTGCGTTGAAACCGTCGTTCGTTTTCTTCCTTTACTCCACTCCTTTATCCCCGTCTTCCCTGCCTCCAAACCCCCGTACAGAATTCGCAATGCTCCCCTGACAATCTAAATTCCTCTTCTCCGGCCGGCAACGCCCTCGATAATTCCGACTCAATTCCTCGATTTTTTCTTTATTTTTCTTTTATTATTGCGCAACCCTTTGCCATCCTGATTTTCACTTCGATTCCGCAAACTCTCAATGCACACCGAACCTCCAAAACCTGTTGTTTCTTCAAGGTATTGATAAGGCTATATTTTAATTTGTTTGTTCAATCTAATTCCGATTTTAGTTTCAAATTTCGAGTTTACGCTTCTTTTTTGAGGAGATTATGGTGTTTGTATTGATTGGGTAACGAATTGGGGTTTTAAGATCCTTTTCAGTGTAATTTGTTGTTTCTTGTGATCTTAGAGGTTAAGGAGGAATTGCATTTAGAGTTTCTCTGTTATTCCAGATCACATAAATCTCATGTAGATTTTTGTTAATCTTAACCTTTTACCTTTCTTATTCTCTTAGGTTGCTTATGTTAAGTGTAAGAATTTTCCTTTCTCGGAAGTTTATTATTCCAAACCCCCACCACCCTCTTTGTCTTGGCTATAGTTATTCCAAACCTTTTACAGTGGATGCTGATCATTAATCACTGTCATGATTGACGGTTTAGTATTAGATGGAGCTTTGGCTTGGACTGAAATTCTTTATCATATTTTTGCTTCTCTGTTTAGCCGGGACATTACAGTTAGTTCCAAGTCTGTTCCTGCATTTGTTTATGGTCTAAGTCTATCCAGTAGAGGAATAAATGAGATTAATACATGTCAAAACCAGTTCTAATCTTTCACTAGTGATTGCATTCATACATTCAATTCAAGTGAGTTATTGTTTTCAAGATATTTATATTGATTGCCCTTCTCCCAACTTCGTTGAATTCATGGAATTTATGATTTTAGAATTTAGATATGACAACTATAAAATGGCTACATTCTTTATTGCATTGCTTCGTGAGTTGGATAGATGATCGACTATAAAATGGTAGCTAGAAATGAAGCACATCTCAGTGTAATAAAACCATGCCCGTCTCCAATAAGGATTTATGTAAAGAACTGCAGCAATAGTTATGAGCACCATTATGTAAGACACAATTAAACTCACATAGAAGACACCCATATCGATGAAACCATCATCTTCTCCACCCTGTGTTGGACCTTCCTGGATCATTGGTGGTGGACTTGTTGTTGAGCAACTTTTCATTGGTTCCCCACAAAGCAGAGGATTACCTTGGTAACAATTTCCATCAAATGTTGCAAATTGTCGGATCCTTGCTGGTGTCTTACCTGATAAGTTGTTGTATGCTACGCTAAAGGTAGATAAGAAATATAAGTCAACAAGCTCAGGAGGAATTTTCCCACTCAAATTGTTGTAGGAAAGATCCAAGCTCTCAATTTGCTTAAGGTTAGAAAATGTAGATGGGATTTCACCAACCAAGAAATTATGAGACAGGTTTAGTGCATGAATCTTACTAAGGTGCCCTATTTCATAAGGAATTTCACCAATCAATTTGTTGCAGGAAAGGTCCATTCCAGACATGTAGGTGAGAAGTCTTCCGTTGTAAGAATATGCCATATTCTTTGTTGTGAAATGCACTGGTTCACCAAGAGAAAGTGTATCCCTGAAAAGTAGGATAAAAATTGTACCACCAACAGGAGCAGAAGCAATATGATTATAATCCTCATTATATTGCTCATCAGTAGTTAGACTTAGGCATGAGGGTATACGGCCTGAAAGATGGTTTTGAGATAGATCAATCAAGCTCAATTTCTGCAACTTGCATAGTTGAAATGGGATTTTACCTTCAAGATTATTGTTCTTCAAGATAAGATAACTCAACTCACCAAGCATATTGATGCAATCTGGGATGTTACCACTTAGCTGGTTGTCACTAAGGTCTAGTGTTACTAGAGAAGAGCTTTTACAAAACTGTGTTGTCAGTGATCCTTCTAACCTGTTTTTGGATAAATGAACATGAATTATATGCCTTGGGCCGAAACAAGATGGTAGACTTCCTGAAATATTGTTATTTGAAAGGTCTAGAATTAGAAGAAATTGAACCCGACAAAAGTCAATAGGAATTGAACCTTCAAGACCATTATTGGACATGATAATTTCTTGCAAGGATGACATGTTTCCCATCCAGCTTGGGATTCTACCAGAGAGATTGTTATTGCTGAAATCTATTGAAAACAGAGAGGGGCAATGAGATAAGCCTTTTGGGATACTTCCAGAAAAGTGATTGCCATTCAACTGTAATTCCTCCAACTGGAATAAGCTAAATTCCTCAGAAAAAATCTGGCCTTGTAGATTGTTGTTTGATAGAATAAGTGAAATTAATGATGAGCAACCCATGGTTAACTTCTTAGGTATTCCACCAGATAAGTTATTGTGAGATAAGTCCAAAGAATACAGCAACTCCATATCACCAATTGAAGGAGGAATGCTACCAGTAAGAGAATTTTTTGAAATGTTTAATTCTCGTAAACTTGGCAAAGATGCTCCGATCTCAATTGGAATATAGCCATCCAAGAAATTTTTGGAGATATATAGACCTTCCAAACTCATATGAGAATGAGCTGGCAACTCAATAGGTCCAGAGAGAGAATTGTTAACTAGGGAAAGTGTCTTCAACCTTGTGTTGTTTTCCAACAACCAAATGGGAAACTCTCCAGTTAGGTTAAGGTGCAAGAGGTATAAATACTCTAGGTCGTGTTGAGAGTAGAGGAAGTTTGGAATTGCTCCACAATCTCCACAACCAGACAAAAGTAAGGTATTTAGTTGGAAAGTTGGTTCCAAAGATTCAATGTTGGTATCTATGTAAAATTCATTATTTTTAACATAAATATGCTTGAGTTTTGAATGGTTGAAGAATGGTTGAAGGGAGATGGGAATTCGGAAGTGATTGTCTGAAAGGAACAAGTAATAAAGTGATGTCAAATTTGACAAACATGAAGGCAGGGTTCCCCCTAAATAAGTGTACCTAACATCCAACACTTCAAGATTTGTCAATTCACATAGGCCTGTGAACATATACAACACTTAAAAAGTTAGACATATAGCTCCAAATATTTATATATATATATATAGATAGAGAGAGAGAGAGAGAGAGAGAGAGAGAGAGAAAATGGTAAAATCTGGACATTGGTTCTTATTTCTTTAAATTGGTAACTAACCTTGGAGTGTTAAGGAGTCATTTTGTCTGCAGTGATACAGTGATAGAACCTTGAGAGAAGTCAATGCTCCAATGCCATGAAAGAAGTTGGTTGGGAGGATAGAATTATACATAGACAACTCTTCCACTTTGGACAAGTTATGAAAACCTAATAAGAAAAGCAATTAATTATATTCTTGCAATCTTCCGTCATAATTAATAAATTTAGAGCAAGAACATATATTTCTAAGAAAAATATTC